GGTGCTCCCTCAAGCAGACTGGCGCTCTTCTTTTTAACCGTGACTGTCAGTCTCCTTGTCCCCATTTGTCAGATGGGGATGTGGTAGAAGTTAAAGGAGATGAAGATAAAGCTCCAGCGGCAATGGCTGGCGCCAGGAGGCAGTGTGGCTAGATGGACACCAGGCGGCAGGTCTGTGCCGACAGCCGCCTTCCCCCAGGGGACCAGGCCGAACCCTGGCAGAGGACTGGGTGAGATGACCCAAGGGGGCACCTTGAGGCTAACACAGTGGAAGAAACCCCTTTCCCAAAGGCAGGGATGTCGGCAGCTGAAGAAGTAGCCCTTGTATTTCCTTCTTCGTTTTGCCTGGAGGAGAATGTAGGCATGTCTGGGATCACAGACAGCAAATGTGTGGAATTTGGCAGTTAGGAGAGGAGCTGAGAGGAGCGGCCCTCATTTGGTCAGTGGCGTGGAACTGGCTCTCTCCACCACCGCTGTCACCGTCACACCTCCATCACCACCACTGGCCTCGCCATCCTCCCCTCCACCGCCACCACACCGTGCTCATCCCCTATTCCGAAGCTGTCCTCAGTGGGGCTTCCCTGGGAACTCAGGTAGAAGGAACTGCTTGCCCCCTACCCCCACCCCAGGGGAGGGGTAATGAGCAGATGGCCTTTCTCTTCGTCTGGGCCTCTGAACTCAGGAAATGAGAAACACATCAGGGCCTCTTGACCACACACTAGTCCCTCCCTGGGACAGCAGCCTCTGTGTTTGTAAATAACATACTGGCTTCCAGGCTCCACCTGCACCCTGCTTGGAGCCCCACACACAACAGCTCCTTGCTCCCAGGCTGCTGTCTCCCTGTTCCCAGCTCAGGGCTGAAGTCAGGGCATCGCTCCACCCCTTGCATGGTCACAGACTGCACATATGTGCACATAGGAAGGCTCTCTGTTGGGGGGTCCAAAAAGGGGAGCGTGCTACAGCGAGGGGTGCTGAAGGAAGAACATAAGAGGAATGTGCGAGGGTGGATTCAGTGGGACACCTGATGCCCGGGCCCCTCAGCAGTGGGTGACCCCTGGCTATGATCTATCCCTGGGTCCCTCAGTCCTTGCCCCAACACCCAAGATCTGCTGACACTCTGGATCTAAATGGATCCTGGCGTGAGTCCCCCACACCAGGAGCTGGGCCAGAGAGACCAGAACTCCACTGGGAAAGGGGAGGAAGGGCTGGTGGGGCCCAGGGAGGGAGCAGCAGACAGGGTCACCAGGCCAGGAGGTTAATCCGAGCTGCCTGAACTTTCCCCTTCACCCCCAGAAGATAAGGCCTCCTCAGTCAGGGCAGGGGCAGATGAAGGGCCCTGTTACCCGCCCCAAGCTCAGGGGGTCTGGGAGTGACCTGCAGTCTTACTGGGAGTCCAGTGTGGATCGCCCCCAAAACTTGCCCGGCACACTTCACCCGGCAGGCCCTCCTGTACTCCCTGCTCCCCACTCCTCCCGGAGCCCCACCTCCCATCCACACCTCACTGGCCCCCTGGACTTAGTCATCTAGCCAGTCTCCCCCTGCCATTCTAGGCCCCCAGCCTAGAGCCACCAGCAGTGACCAGCAGCAGGGGTGCCCATAGCCAGAGTGGGAGAGCCATGACTTGGTGGTGTTGTTGCTGCTGCTAACGGTAGCAATTATAGCGACCAGCTCGGCCCGCCCCGCCCCGCGGCCAGGCTCTCCATCCAGTACCTCACTGAATCCTCACGACAGCCCTATCGTCATCCTGTTCGCACAGGTGGAAAACTGAGGCACACGGGCTAGGCAACTTCCCTAGACGTGCTGGCCAGAAGAATGTCTTTGGATGAGGGAGGGATGAACAGGGCAGGCAGGGGAGCTGTGCTCCAGGGCAGTGGGAATGAACTTGGCATGGAACCAAGGTCCTCCTTTCCTTGGGAAGGTGCTTCCTCGACTCTGGCTTGGGTTCTTCTTGCCACAGTGGCAGTTCTGAGTGACAGTGGGTCCTACAACTTCAGGGAGGCCAGAAGTGGGGCCACCATCCCTGTGGATAAATGGAGGAGTTCAGGGGCCATGAGGTGCTTCCCTTCTCCTGGGCACTCCCGGCCCCACCACGGAAACCAGGCTGCAGAAAAGAGGGGGTGCCTCCTCTTGGCCATAGAGAGGATAAAGCAACAGCAGTAAGTGGAGGCTGAGCAGATGCCTTGGGCCTGTGAGGGAGCTCCCACGCTTTGCCAAACGGGCAGCTTTCAACCCGTGAATGCCCACATCAGTGGGCTAGTCTGTCAGTTGGGAGGGCTGGTGTGCCGGGCTTGGGGTACTGGTAGAAGCTTCGGTCCCTCAAGAGCTTTCCATCGGCTGGAAAAAAGATGGTGCGTTATCTGTTTGTCTTGAGAGAGATGGAGGTGGGCAGAAGAAGGGGTGGGAGTAAGGCCAGGACAATGGCAGAGGTGGTACCGGCAGTTTTTATGGGGCTGGTGGCAATAGTGGTGATGGTAGTGATGGTGCTAATGTTGCCTTTGGTGGGGATGGTGATCGTGTGGGGCAGGTGGTGGTAATACCGAGGAGGCTGTGGTCACAGCGCTGATGGTGCTGGTGGGAATAGCGCTGGTGGTGGTGATGGTAATGATTGCACCGGTTGGAATGGTGCTGATGGTAGTAATGGTGGTTATACTCCTGGTAATAATTAGTGCTCATGGTGGTGCTGGTGCAGGTGGTGGTGGTGGTCAAGGTGATGATAGTTGCTGGTGGTGGTGGTGGTGGTTATTGATGGAGGTACTAGTTGTGATGATGGAAATGGCAGTGAAGGGGTGACCTCATGGATTGGGGTGAGCAGCTCAGCTACGCAGGGATCAGATGCCTCGGGAGCCTGGATCCCCAATGCCAGAGGCACAAAGAGAACTTCGGGTTAATCTTGGAGCCCCTTGAACTAGGGCAAGCCCAGCTGCCCTCCCTCAAGCCCCATCCTGCTCTGCTGTAGCTCGGGGAGGAGGACGCAGAGCGGGAGGAAAGAGGAGTTTGTGGGGGCCAGTAGCGAGCACACGGGAATCGGCCCCAGCCCTTCCCAGGGTGCCCTGCGCACTGGATCCCCCTGAGATCCCAGGGTCCAACTCAGACTGCAGAGACACGCAGAAGCACAGACACCCGACAGACACCCTCTCCCCTGTCCCCCGCTAAGGAGCAGCCGCATGACACACTTGCAGAGGCGCGCACGCGGACCTTTGCCCAGAAATACATGTACACATGCGTGTTCCCAGACACCTGAGGCTCACGTCCCAGATGTGCGTGCTGGACCTCCCCCACGTGAGAGCGCACAGAGACAAGGGCGCACGCGGGCTCACAAGCCTGCCGGCCGTGGGTGCGCGGCCGCTCGACGCCGCGCCGCCGCGCACGCGCACAGACGCGCACGCGCCGCCGCTAAGTAAAACCAGCGGGGCCCAAGTCTGGCCGAGCCAATTGGAGACTCCTTGGCCCTGGAAGCCCTTGTTGCTGCCACTGAGAGACGCGGTCAATTAACTTCTCCCAGCAGCCAGGCTCCCTGGCCCGCCCCGCCCCGGCCAGCCCGCCCCTTCCCCAGCGCGCCTCCTCCCTTCCCTGCCTCCCCGCTGGCCCTCCGCCCTGCAAAACTCCACTCAGACAGGGGACCGGCCCTGCCCTGCGTTGTCTGACGGGCGGCAGCTCTGCCTGTTGAGGGTCTAAGGGAGCCAGGCTCTGCCCTGTGGAGTGGGAGGGGACACAGCCCTGCTTTGGGGACTGAGGGGTGTAAGGGGACAGACATGTCCCTGTCCTGCGTGTCTGAAGGGCCCTGACTCCAACTTGGGGGGGGCGGGGATGCGAGGGGAATGTACTAACCTCCGTGGGTCTCACTCATGGAAGTGGCTAGACATGGTCACACTGAGCCGTCCCCAAAGCAGGATGCTGCCTTTACTCTGACCCGCTTCCAACCCTGTTGGGGGAACACAGGTTCAGGGTGAGACTGCACCCCGATGCCCGTGATGTTCTTGCTCTCCTCCTCAAAATGATGCCAGGAAATCCCAGTGGGTGGCAGTGAGTGCCCATGGTGTGCAGGTTGGAAGGAAGAAAAGGAAGTATATTCCAGAGGAAACTGGGGACTGATAATCTCTTGTTGGCACCGTCAGAACAGGGTTGTTGGGGTGCCTGGGTGGCTCAGTTGGTTAAGTGTCGGACTCTTGAGATTTCAGCTCAGGTCATCCTCTCACAGTTCATGAGTTACAGCCCCACATCGGACTCTGCGCTGACAGAGCAGAGGCTGCTTGGGATTCTCTTTCTCTCTCTTCCCCTCCCACTCTCTCTCTCTCTCAAAATAAGTAAACTTAAAAAAAGAAAAAGAACACAGGGTCTGCTTGGGTGGAAGGAGCCTCCAGGTAAGCAGTGGGAGGTGGGTGACTCCCACCCACAGCCCGAGGGGAGTGCCCGCCCAACCAGACCACTGGCCAGCAACTCCTCAGTCCTCTTGCTTTTGGGACCACAAGGGTGGGAGCGGCTGAGGCACTCGCCATTCACTGCAGAAGCAGTGACTGGGGAAAGGGCCAGGATGGAAATTGGTGACTCCCGAGGTCCCCCAGGGCACTAGGGCTTGAAAGAATCCAGGCCTGGTTTATTTCCCCAGAGTTCACCACTCCTTATCCACCCCCTCTCCCTATCAGGTCCCCAGCAGACAGGATCCTGTGAGGATCCATCCTGGGACATTCCATCCCTTTCCCATGTACCCTTGGGGAACAGACTGCACAGAGAGTATCAGTGGCTGCAGCCTGCAGGGTCACTAGCGGACAGGCAAGGGACAGTCCCCCCTCCCTCCTTTATCCTTCTGGTGGGACAGGCTCTACCCTTTGGAGCTGCAGATTCCCATATGTAAAATGGGAGCTACATAAGGCAGAGTTCCCAAATTCTAGACTCAGGGCCTTTGGAAAGAGGGGGCAGGATCCCTCAGGGAGGTTGGGATGGTTGCCGGACCTGCCTCTGAGCTGGGAAGTCCTGCCTGTAGTCTGACGTTCAACTTGGTAGGTGGATGCAGATGACGTCATGACCAAAGAGGAGCAGATCTTCCTGCTGCACCGCGCCCAGGCCCAATGCCAGAAGCGGCTCAAAGAAGTCCTGCAGAAGCCAGGTGGGGGCGGGGCCGGGGGCGGGGCCAAAGAAGGAAAGTCTGGGAGCGACGTCCAGAGTGGGAGGGAGGGGCCAAATGAAGACGAGAGCCTAGGATGCAGAACCAAGTGGCATCAGGGGAGGGGGGGAGGCTTCCAGTTAAAGGGGGGGAGTCAGGCCAAAGTGGGGTGGGTCAAGTGTGATCAAAGTCAGCAGACTGAAATGCACTGAGCCTTCGCTCCTGTGGCAGGGTTAGGGCGGTATGAAGGCAGCCACAGTCTGAATCACCCCCGACAGGCTTAGATTTGGCAAGGCACACCACGATCACAAGCACTGACTAGGGTGCCAGTCCCCACTGGGATGCGCTGGGACAGCTTCCTGGAGGAGGAGGTATCCAAGGAAGGTTCAGAAGGATACGTAGATCTTTGAAGAGGGCCCACTTGGTCAGGAGGACGAGGCTGAGGTGTCCAGGGTCAGGAGAATCAGGGTGCATGGGGCTGGATGGGGGGGGACGATAGAGGGATAGGGATGGGTATCTGGGACTCTAAGTCATAGTCAGTATCCGGGAGAGGGTGTTTGATCTGGGGTAGGGAGGGCTCCTGCCCACCAGCGCAGCCTCTCCAGGGACCCGTGCTAAGATGAAGGAGGTGGGGCACTGACCTGCCTTCCCGGCTCCTGCCCTATCTGCAGCTGGTCTGCCCTGAGTCTATTTCCTGGAAGCAGAGATGTGAGCTCATTAGCACCCATCAGGCCTCTGCTGCCTGTCTGATTAATCTCATGGACCGGGAAGAGGCCCAGACCCCCCCACCCCCAAATGGCTGATAAGAACAGCTTCCTGTCTGGAACTGGCTCCTAGCCAGGGGACCCAAGCGCACACAGTGACACACTTTGTAGCACGTGGACTTTGCTCAAAGTCACAGGGATTCACATGGTCTCTGCAGTCACAGCCCTGTCCACACTGGCCCCACTGGTGGCTCCTTGGTTCCCTGCCCCAGTCACTTCAGGGTCTGGGGGGCAGGTGGCCCCCTCTCTTTGGGTCCCAGCTCTCTTCCTAGTTGGGGAAGCCTGGAGTCACCTTCCTCCCTCCCAGCCCGCCCCATCCTGACGGAGCCCCTCTCTCTCCTGCTCTACCCCATCTTGCTACCTCCTCCCTACTGATGCCCCAAGGATCAGGCAAGCCATTCCATCCCAGTCGTGGTGTCTGCCCTCAGCTTCCCATTGCTGCCACAGACTCTGACACGGGAGGGTCGGGGGCCCTGCTCGGGCTGTCACTGAAGGGACACAAGTCAGAGAATGAGGGGGACTGTTCAGCGAAGAAGAGAGATCTTGAACATCTCTACTGGAGAGAAGGGCCAGCCCAACTCAGTCTCTGGAGTCCCTCTGTGGACTCTGTGAACCCCTAACTCTAGTATCCCAGGGCAGGGGATGGGCGCGTAGACTTGCCTGAACACACTTGACAACTGGCATACTCTTACTGTTGTGGTCCACACTGCCAGCTTCCTGAGGTGCACGGTGCTCTGGCCTGGCTTCATTTTCACGGTTTATCCTCTCCATAGACATCACCGCTACCGTCCACTTTTGTCCTGCGCCCCCTGGTGGGGCCTCGTCCTCCTGCACAGGCTCTGGCTCCGACTCCTGGGTCGGAGGACACCACCTCTGCCCGTGCGTTGCCCACGTTTACTGCTCAGTCCCCTAGTTGATCCCACACCGCGTGGTGTTCATTCCCATTTGAACCTCCCGTCGACAGTCTCCGTACCCCCTGCTTACTTCTGACCTGGCAAGTACTTTACAGTTTGTAAAGCACTTCCTCGCCTGTTATCTCAGCTCTCCCAATGGCCTGGGCTGTCAGCAGGGCAGGGATCAACCCCGATTGCACAAAGGGGGAGTCTGAGGCAGGAGTGTGCCCTGGCACAGTTGATAGCCATGCCCGCCCTGATTTCTCCAGCTGACATAATGGAATCAGACAAAGGATGGGCATCTGCATCCACGTCAGGGAAGCCTAAGAAAGACAAGGCATCTGGGAAGCTCTACCCTGAGTCCGAGGAGGACAAGGAGGCACCCACCGGCAGCAGGCACCAAGGTATGTACATGTTTCCATGCATCCATCAGAGACCAGCTAGGACCCACCCACCCCACCGGTCTGTCCCCAGCAAGTGAGCTCACTCTCTTCAGCTCTTGTGGAAAGGAAGAGGTTGAGGTCCCCTCCCTAGGAAGGCACAGAAGGGGCTGGGAGGAAACAGAGCCCAGGAGCTATGGTGTGGAGGGGGCTGGCAGCTGGATGGGCCCGGACACCCAGGAGATTTGGGCAGAGAACTTGCCCCACACTACCCTGTGGGTGGTCCCAGGGCTATGGCCCCTCCCATGGAGAGAGATGACAGAGAACCTGGGAGACAGAGGGCCAGGGAGAGATACAAAGACAGGGAAAGACAGAAGGGAGACCAGGAGACACAAACTGGGACCGAGACTCAGTGTGTCAGAGGAGACTGCACCAAAACATAGTGTCGTAGGCCATAGACATAGAGCAGGAGAGGATGGTGGCCATGGAGGAGTGGGGGCCAGAGACAGTGAGACAAGGCGGGGAGAAGAAAAGAGAGGGAGGGAGATGCAGGGCGGTGTTGTCCCTCAGGAAGGTAAGGAGAGACAAACGCAGAGCCCAGGCTGCAGCCACAAGGCCGGTTTGAACCGGCTGGGTGGGCAGCAGATTCCAGATGGGCCACATCTGGGAGGCTGTGGTCACCCTGTGGCTCCCCAGGGACCAGAGGGAATTGTGGGCCTAGCCAGGCGGGGCTGGGAATATGGTGCCCAGGACAGAGAGCCTTTCACCAGACTGGGGTGGGTCCAGCCGTCAAGGCGGCCTTCCAGGATGGCTGAATCTTGTGGCTGGAGTTCTGCAGGGGGAAAGAAGGGAGCTGGGGGGGCAAGGGGGGATGGGGTGGAAAGTAGAAGATTCAGAGGCTGGGGACCCTCCAAGGTCACTTAGTAGCTCTGCTGTGAGCCTGGAGCCCCAAAGTAGGATATGTCACCCTGCCTCGAATCCCACAGATAGCACTTAGATTTGGGGGGTTATACCTCTCCCTACAAGCGATCATTGGAGTCTCATAGCAGGTGCTTAGGGCGGGTCTAGGGTGGGGGTGGCAGCACAGGCCTGTATGGCCAATCCCAGCTACCTGGTGAAGAAGGTGGAATACGAAGAGGGTGGCACCTGCATGAGGCCAGCAGCTCGTTGGGAGTCCAGCTGGCACAGGAAGCCAGCTCTCCTGCCTCCCGTCCAGGGTCCCTGGGCAAGGCTCACATGGAAAGCATTCTCAGCTGAGGGAGTAAGTCTGAGAACTTGCCCTTCTTCAGGGACACCTAGAGGTGGAATCAAGAGCCGAGGAAAAAGAGAAAGGCCCGGCCAGGGGCCGAGTACCAGAGGAGGGCAGGGCCCTAGGCTGTATGACTTCAGCAGATCACTTGCCTCTCTTGGCCTCCACCAGCCAATCTAGAAGTAGGGCCACGCCAGTACCTGCCTACAGGGGCTGTGGGTGAATTCTGTGAGGCCAGGTGGGTGCAGGGCACAGTAGGTAGTAAGGCTCAATACATTCTCTCCAGAATGCTCCAGGCCTGAGTTTTCCAGTCCTGGGGCACACCGGTCCCTGAGGGAGCCAGCGACCACAGGTGTGTTCATTCTTCTGGGTCACTAACCATGGACTTGACTGGTGTCCCCCACCTTGTCTGTCTGTCTCTGTGGGCACAGGGCGCCCCTGCCTGCCCGAGTGGGACCACATCCTTTGCTGGCCGCTGGGGGCACCAGGTGAGGTGGTGGCCGTGCCCTGTCCCGACTACATTTATGACTTCAATCACAAAGGTAAGGCAGGCTGGAGTAGGGTGGGGACCACAGGGGTGCCAGGAGTTGGAGCTCAGGGCTCCGGACCTCTCTGCCTGCCCTGACCCTCCCCATGGACCCGCAGGCCATGCCTACCGTCGCTGTGACCGCAATGGCAGCTGGGAACTGGTGCCTGGGCACAACCGGACATGGGCCAACTACAGCGAGTGTGTCAAGTTCCTGACCAATGAGACTCGTGAACGGGTGCGAGCTTTCCCCCTCCCCAACTTGATCTGGATAAGGTCACCCCACCCCACTGGTGACCCCTGAGCTAGGCCTGGCTCCTCCAACAACCTTCACCTGGCTCTAACCCTTCACCTGAGTCCCAGGGCTCTGACGGTGTGTCCCCAACGGTACAGGAGGTGTTTGACCGCCTGGGCATGATCTACACCGTGGGCTACTCCGTCTCGCTGGCCTCCCTCACCGTGGCTGTGCTCATCTTGGCCTACTTCAGGTGGGCGAGGAGAGGGGCGGGGCCGAGCCGGGTGGGCGTGGACGTGGGTGGGACCGGGGTCTGGTGCCTCCCTTCCCTCACCCAGGCGGGGCGTCCCCGCCCACCGCGCACAGCCTGGCTTCCAGCCCCCCACCCCAACCCTGCGCGTCCCTGCGCCCTCACCCGCGGTGTCGTCACGCGCCCCGCAGGCGGCTGCACTGCACGCGCAACTACATCCACATGCACCTCTTCCTGTCCTTCATGCTTCGCGCCGTGAGCATCTTCGTCAAGGACGCGGTGCTCTACTCGGGCGCCACGCTCGATGAGGCCGAGCGCCTCACCGAGGAAGAGCTGCGCGCCATCGCCCAGGCGCCCCCGCCGCCCGTCGCCGCCGCTGCCGGCTACGTGAGTGCCCCCCTCCGGCGGCCCGCACCCGCGTCTCCCACCGCTGGCTTCACGAGAGACCCACCCTGCCGCCCCCTCCCCCCGCCCCGGCCCCCCGGCCGGCACCTCCACCTAGGCTCGGCCCTCGCCTCTGCGGGTCTCCTCCTGCCGTGCCACTGGCGTGAGCCACCCCGACCCTCGGCCTGCCTCCAGCCCCTACTGCCGTGGGCTTTGTGATTGCCCCCTACCCGTCACTTTCATCAGCACTCCTGCCTCAGCCCAGCACCCCCACCCACCCCACCTCTCACCTTGGTGCCTGCCACTGTCCTTGGTGTCCTCCTGCCCCAGCGACCACTCCCCCACCCCCAGCTCTGCCCTTGACCGGAGCCTGGTCCTTCCTGCCCTCCTGACCAGCACCACCTGTCCTATCTCACGAGCGGCCCCCAGCCCATCCCCAACTTCTGCGCATGCAGGCCCGCCTTCTGGCTAATACCACTGCTCTCCTAGGCGGGCTGCAGGGTAGCTGTGACCTTCTTCCTTTACTTCCTGGCCACCAACTACTACTGGATCCTGGTGGAGGGGCTGTACCTGCATAGCCTCATCTTCATGGCCTTCTTCTCAGAGAAGAAGTACCTGTGGGGCTTCACGGTCTTCGGCTGGGGTAGGCAGGCTCCGGGACAGCGCGGGCTGGGCAAGGGGGTGGGGCTGTGGGCGGCAGGGTCAAAAGGTGAGGCGCCCACACAGCATATCCTGTCCCACCCAACCCTCTGTGAGTCTGACCCCTTCTCAGATTCTGGCAACAGGCCCTGGCCAGGGGTCAGGGTTCACCTGGGATTGGCTCAGCCCGGGATTGGGGCTCACCTGGAGGCAGATTCATCTGGCCTTGAGGCTCAGCCCAGGTCAAGATTCAGGTCAGGATCAGAATGGGATCTTGGGTCAGAGGTCGCCCTAGGGCCAGGGTTGGGATCTGGGATGCTCCCTCCACCCTGAGCCCTGTTTCCCTGTGGATCCCCTCACTGCCTGCAGAACCCAGAGCCCCAGGCCAGGCTCTCCCATCATCTGGGCTCGGCGGCCCCTCTGCAGAATGGGTTGCTGGGGCTCTGCGCCGCTCCCCCACGGGCGCTGGGATTGAGTTACCGATAATTGTCCATTATTGTTGGCAGCTCCCGAGCTTGGCTGGGCTCCGGGGCAACTGGCCAGACTGGGGCGACTGGCCAGACTGAAGAGGGGTAGGCCCGGTGGCTGAAGCCCTCCTCCCTGCACTCAGCACCCAGAAGCTCTCAGGTCAACAGCCACAGCCCGTTGGCACACATCCTGACCTTGTCCTCACCCATGGCAAGCCCCAGAGCTGGGGGAGACCTGGGCCTGCTCCCAGGAACTGACGTGGACTCTGGGGCTAGAGGGTGTCAGGGCGGGCAGGAAGCACACAGACTAGGAGCACACAGAGCTTCGTGACATGAGAATGTCACAGCTCTTTTTCCCACCATAAACCCAGGTCACACCCTGCCCCTCCTAAGGGTGCACCTGGCCTAGAATGAAGTGTGAGGGGGCTAAGGACAGGAACCTGGCTCCCTTCTAGAGGCAGAGCTCACTTAGAGTTACCATGTGCATTCTGGGCTGACCCAGGCCTGGGAACACCAAGGTTCCCCTGTGGCCTTTACTCAGCCTGGAATGACGGTTGTCACCCCATCCAGCCCCATCCGTGGGGGCTAGGACCTCTCACACTGGGTGTTGGGGGGCGTGCTGGGACAGAAGAATGCTGGCACAAGAGTGCCCCATGCAGAGCACTGCCCTTGAGAGGAGAGAAGGGGGCAATGGACTGGGTACGGGGAAGTCAGTGCCGCCCTACTTTGCCGTGTGCCCAGCAGGTCTGCACGTGTGGGGAGGAGATGCAGAGCCAAGATTAGGGCAGAGGGCTGGGAACTAGGCCCTGGGTGCTGGGGCCCCAAGAGGAGGCTGTTGGGAAGCAGAGTGGCACGTGTCAGCATGTGGCTCTGTCACCGAGCAGCCCATAGGCCCAGGCTGAGGGGGGTCAGGGGCGGTGATGGGGTAAGCTGGGGGTCATCAAGGGTGAGAGGAAAGGGTCTGCCGAGGTGGGTTAAGGGGAGAGACATTGTGGGCAGCACCTACGGTCCCTCACACGCTGCCCCCTCTGTGCCCACAGGTCTGCCCGCCATCTTCGTGGCTGTGTGGGTCAGCGTGAGAGCCAGCCTGGCCAACACCGGGTAGGTCCAGGTGGAGAAGCGGGTCGGGGGACTCTGATGCAGGCCAGAAATACCCCTGGAGCCCTCTTCTTCTGTGTGGTATGTGAGGGGGCTTCCTGTACCCTGGCCCCGAGTGGCCAGCTTCGGTTTTTTATCTAGCATTGAGTCAGGTGCCTCTTCAGGGTCACAAGAGGCTGCTTGAAAAGAAGCATCTGAGGGCCGCCTCAGGCCTGGCCACACCCGATGTTCTGCTGTCCTCCGTCAGAGCAGGCCAGCTCTGGGGCCATGCTGTGGGCAGGCTCAGGGTGGGAACAGGGCAGTGGGAGCTGATGCCTCACCTCCCCCAGGTGCTGGGACTTGAGCTCCGGGAATAAGAAGTGGATCATCCAGGTGCCCATCCTGGCCTCCATCGTGGGGGGGGGGGGGGGGGGGGGTGCCAGGGCCGGGTGCGGGTGTGCACCACAGGTCCCGGCGTTCAGCCCCTGGCAGGGACTACAGAGGCTTCCCTGGACCCCAGGATGGGAGCCCCAGGCCTGAGAAGCAGCTGGCCCCCACCCCAGTCCAGATGGGGGAGCAGAGGGCCCACGTAGGGATGCGGAGCAGGGCCGTGTGCCCCAGGACCCTTGCCCCCACCCCCTGCTAGGGTGCAGCTCGAGATGCAGCCCGCCCTTCCTCCCACAGCTCAACTTCATCCTCTTCATCAACATCGTCCGGGTGCTGGCCACCAAGCTGCGGGAGACCAATGCCGGCCGGTGTGACACGCGGCAGCAGTACCGGTGAGCTGCGCCCGCCCGGCCCCGGCTCCTCAGAGCTCAGAGCTCCTCAAACCCCGGCACTGTGTATGAAAGCGAAGACAGAGGCCCCAGGAGTGAGCCTGTGTCAGGGGGAGAACCCCGCTCCTGACTCCCTGGCCGGCCCCGGGGATCTCAGCCCAGAGCCAACCCAGGCCATTCGGTGCTAGGCCCTGCCCTTCAGCGGGGGTCTCTGAGGGTGGGACAAACCCAGACCTCTCCTTAAAGAGCTGACCGTTCGAGTCTGAGGGACCTGCGGGCCGGGGATGGCTTCGAGGGGGCTGCGGTTCAGCTAAGACCTGAGGCGTGGACCCTGGGATGAAGAGGGGAGGCCAGGGGGCGGAAGTGAGTGAGTGCCAGTAGGGGGCCCTGTTAACGCTCTGCCTAGACAACGAAGGGTGGTTGTCCCAGGTTGACTGGACTGTCCTCCGCCCCGGCCCGAGCCTCCCTCCCGTAGTGGCTCCTGGAGCTTGGAGCCAGGGGCTGGCGGGTGGGGACGGCACCATGCCTGCTGATGGGAAGGGGCTGGTTCCTGACCCGCCTGCCCTGCCGGCCCAGGAAGCTGCTCAAATCCACGCTGGTGCTCATGCCGCTCTTTGGGGTCCACTACATCGTCTTCATGGCCACGCCCTACACCGAGGTCTCAGGGACGCTCTGGCAAGTCCAGATGCACTACGAGATGCTCTTCAACTCCTTCCAGGTGCGCAGGCCCTGCCCAAGGCCCGGCTGACGGTGGGAGGGGGGTGGGGAGGACAGGAGAGGGTCCACCCCCACCCTCTCCGGATGCGGCCTCCAGGCCCTGACCCCACGTGCCTCTCTCCACAGGGATTTTTTGTCGCCATCATATACTGTTTCTGCAATGGCGAGGTAAGCGGTGGGCGGCGGCGGCATGAAGCAGGGAGGACGCGCAAGTGCCAGGGGCCCCCCAAGTCCTGTCCCTCCGTTCTTCTGTCCGGCTCCTCCTATGTTCCTCCAAGAACACCCCTGAGGACATTCTGAAGGCAGAGAGTCTTTCCAGATGATTCAGGCCTGGGGCGTCCTAGCATTTGTAGGCTCTTCGATCTCTGGCATAGCCAGTGTCTTCCCAAGCCCACAGCTGAATTCGTAATCCAGACTGCACGACTCAGCCACCCTTGGGGCCATTTGTGCCTTGTAGGTTCTGGGTGTGTCAGCTGCCTGCAGCCAGGCACCATGTTCTGAGAATGACGGGATTTTACTTGGCCTTGGAATTTTCCAGTAATATACCATGCGTCTGGTTCTATTCAGTGCCTAGTGTTGTAGGGGCAGGGAGGAGGGCATGGCTGGGCCTGGGGGAGGGCTGCACATGCGGCCAAGGGGTTAGAGGCACACCTGATGGCCCACCCCCCTCTGCCATCCCAGGTACAGGCTGAGATCAAGAAATCCTGGAGCCGCTGGACACTGGCACTGGACTTCAAGCGGAAGGCACGCAGTGGAAGCAGCAGCTACAGCTACGGCCCGATGGTGTCTCACACGAGTGTGACCAATGTAGGCCCGCGCACGGGACTCGGCCTGCCCCTCAGCCCCCGCCTGCTGCCCACCGCTGCCACCAACGGCCACCCCCCGCTCCCCGGCCACACCAAGCCAGGGGCCCCGGCCCTCCAGACCACACCACCTGCTGTGGCTGCTCCCAAGGACGATGGGTTCCTCAACGGCTCCTGTTCGGGGCTGGACGAGGAGGCCTCTGCGCCGGAGCGGCCTCCTGCCCTGCTGCAGGAGGAGTGGGAGACGGTCATGTGACAGGGGACCTGAGGGTTGGACCCATGGACATGAGGGCCGATAGACAGACCCAGAGATGGGTGGTTGGACGGTTGCCCACTCAGGGCTGGGGCTGGGAAGACAAAATCAGAAAGAAAAAAAAAAAAAAAAGGGAAAAGGAAGCAGCGTGTAGCTTCCTGTGGTCTGAACTAGGGACTTGGGGGCGGGTGAGGGGGGAGCCTTGGAGAAGTTCATAGGTTTCACCTCAGGAGGCGCTCTGGGGGCCACAGGAACAGTGGAGCAGGAAAGACCTGAAAGAGACCTCCAGTGGCTGGAGTTTGCTGGGGTCGCACAGGGAGCCAGCGGAGCCATACAGGGGCTGGGCCCCAGCCTTCCCTGCCACCGTCCCATGCTTTGGCTTGGACCCAGGCCCCAGGGGGGCCCCAGGCTCCTCCAGGCCAGCTCTCCGCCTGCTGCCCCAGTCGCTGTCCACCAAGGGCCAACCGCAGATCCCTGGGTCCCTGGTCCCGCTCCAGGCCCCTTCCTGCCTCTCTGGTGGCCCTCCTGGGCCCCTTGGAGGCTGGGGCGCTCAGGGAGCCCTCCATACATGGTCCCCAGCCCCCACCCCGGATTTGACACGCCCTTGGCAATCAGATGGAGGGTGAGGGTGACGGGAACATGCTGAGGCCATCAAGTGCAGCATGGGTTGTGGTCTCTGCTCTGGCTCAGGAGCTGGGGGGGGTGGAGGGGGAGCCTGGGGTCAGCCCACAGGTCTTGCTGGGGTGGGGACCTGCACATCCATTCCCTGTCCATCCGAGGCCATCGCTGAGCGTCCCCATTCATCATCCACCCACTACATTCCTTGCCCCCTGCACAGCCCCGTCTTGGGCCCCGGAATGGCACAGGCCCTCCTCGCCTACCGCTGAGAGCTGACCCGGCTGCGTGCCCATCCCATGCTCTGACCAGCACGCACCTCTTCCTCCACTCTGAAGGCGGCCCGGCCTGCTTCTGGGCTCACACAGGCCAGCACCCCTGCCTGGCCCTTCCTTCCTCCATCTCCAGTGCCAACCGTTTGTTCTACTCCGTGGACTCAGCGTCTGGAAGGAGCTCCCATCTCGAACAGCACCCCCACCGTTGGGGGCTGGGTGAGGGGTCATGGGGCCAGGACCGCAAACTCGCTTAGGCAGCGGGTGGCATGGGCGAGCCCTGGACAGCCTCAGGCCTGGCCCTGCCTGTCCTTCCAGATGGCACGCAGGGCAAACAAGTGCCTGGGGCCTGGAGTGCCCTTGGATCGCTGTGTGGTGTGATGTGCTTGGAATGGCGTGAGAGGCACCGGCCAGGACCTGAGCCAGTTTAAGCATCAAGGGCTCCTATGAACACCCGGAGCCACTGAAAATCATACAGGGGAAGCAACAAGGTCTGAGCCACATTTAGAGGAGTTCTGGCATCAATGGAGACGCCAGAGGGGGTTACTCAGGGGTCAGGGACAGGTAACCTTGTGGGAGGCAGGCGGCAGGCAGGAAGGACCCTGGAGGAGGTACTGGCTGGGAGGAGGCCCAAGCAGAAGAAACCCCCCTTCCCCTTTCCAGGGGTGTCCGTGGGATGCCCCTCCTCCGGGCTCAGAGCTTGGGACCTCTGGACCACTGGGCTTTCTGGGAAACTCATCCCACCCACCCCACAGGCAGGCACTGAGGCCTCTAGTGGGCTGGGCCCTGGGGCCCCACCTTCTCTTCAGGAGGCTTCTGAAATAGAGTCCATGAGTCCCACTCACCCTGAAACATTCAGAGTGAGTATCCCTCTGACAGGGGGACTGTCTTCCCCCTCAGACTAGGATTGCCCCAGAACAGCTGGGCCTCTCCTTTCAGGCTGGATTCCCTCTAGGACAGGGTTTAGCCTCTTCCTACAGACAGGGACCTATACCCCAGGATGGGGCTGTGCTCACTTCTCAGAGTGGGTGCTCCTCCCCCAACAGGACAGGGCTGCGCTCCTCAGACAAGATACCCCCAGGACAGGGCTGCACTCCTCAGACTATATACCCCATCCCCACCCCCTGGACAGAGCCAGGCTTTCCCCTCTAGACTGGGAACCATTTCTGGGATGTTCAGGACCAGACTGGACCTTATACCAGTCCAAGCCCCTAGGCCAGGACCCTCCTCCCTCAGACCTGGAGCCCCTGGGCCAGGGCCGGCCTTCCCACTCAGAGAGGTGCCTGGGCCATCCAGGTGTTGGCGGAGGAAGTGGGAGCCCTCAGTGGGCCTGGCAGGCAGTCAGGACCCTGTTTGCCTTGAGCAGGGGCTGGAGCCAGGTGCTCACTTCTCCCTTCAAGGCCTCCCGGCCCAGCCAAGCCGCAGGGAACACGTAAACACCGGGCGAGCCGGGAGCAGGCAGGTGGGGAGGGGGCCGCTGAGACCCCGGCTCCTCAGCCTCCTTGGCCACGGCGTCCAGCACCTCGTGGGCTGCCGTGAACTCCGAGTTGGGCCAGTGAGGCGGCCTGCAGCTCCCACCTGTCTAGGGGCGTGTGGGCAGGCCCTGCCCTCTGTGGCCCGTGTTTCCTTGGCCCAGACTGGGACAGGGACCTCTGAAGACCTATGCAAGGAAGGTACCCTCTTGGGGTCCCTGGAACACAAGGCCAAGCCTCTAGGCTGGGAGAAACCCTAGCTCCTGGCTCAGAGTGGGGCCTGGGGGTCCAGGAGCATCAGAGATGGCTCTGCCCACCCTCAACCCGCCAGCCTGTCAAGGACCTGCAAAGATGGAGCCAGGCCCCCTACACCCACCTGGAGTGGGCAGCCTGGGAGAGCCCACGTCCTTCTGCTCTCGCCCTGGGAAGGTGGGAGGGACAGAACAGACACAGGGCAAAGGGGATTGAGTTCTCTAGAAGTTCAGAAGGGACATGAGCCTGCCCTAGAGGGTCTTCAGGGGACACAGCCCTGCTCTGATGGTGTGTGAGGGGCCGTGACCCTGCGCGGGGGTCTGAGAGGGTCCTCGCTCTCTGCTGTGGTTGACGGAAGAGGTCTGGCTGTGGTGGCTCGTCGGAGGGGCAGGAGCAGTGGGGCTTGCCGCTCAGCTCGGCCACATAGGCTGGGCCAGGTCCAGGTCCCTCATGCCTCCTCAGCCTATTTCAGGAGAATGATCCCCGCCTGAGGCCACAGTGGCCAACTGAAGTAAGCCTTGGCTGGGGCAGAGGAGCCTCCTCTTGGGCAGAGGAGGGGACTCCAGAGCCGGGCAGGGGCCTGGACCCTGGCTGGCTCCCGATGTGTGCTGTGTGATCCCGGGTAAGCTGCCTTCCCTCTCTGAGCCTCAGCTTCTCTTCTGAGGCCAGGCCCCTGTCCAGGTCTCCAGACCTGTGTGGGCTCCGTACCCCATCCCATTGCTCAGTGAGTCCCCAGGACATGAGGCCAGGATATCCCCACCGACTGGTTCCCTCCCTCAGTATCACAGTCCTGCAGGTGGGGGTGGGGGTGGGGGGTGGGGAGGGCAAGAGATGCTGGGTGTGGATTCTGTGCAGCTCCTCCCTGTCCAAGGGCCAGGGGTGAGGAAAGGGGCCAGGGTGTTGGAGGCAGAAGACCAGATTCCAACTTTCCTTCTGGCCTCAGTTTTCCATCTGTGGGTGAGGGGAAGGGAGGCAGCTGCATTATGTGCCTCCTGTTCAGGGCCCCCGCCCCCAGCAGTCTGTGGGGATAGAGAGGTGAGCTTCCCATGGAACCACTGGGGGTGGGGTGAGGGGCTGTGCAGATGGGCAGCCCCCGTGGGCTCCTGCTGGCTTTGCTTCCCAATGGGGCAGAGGAGGGGACGAGGCCAGGCTGGGAGGATGGGCTTCCGGGCATGGGAGGGCCGGCCTGGGGCCACCCAGCACCTGTGGCTGCAAAGGCTTCAGGTGCCAGCACATGAGGCCCTTCCCCTGTTCCTCCTGCTCCCCACGCTGTGCTCTCCTGGTAGCCCAAGGCTGGTTCACACCCTTGATGTGAACCACGTTCTGGCCCCGCCCGGAGGCCACACTGGCCAGCTGGGTGCCCCCAGCAAGCTCACTCACATCAGTGATAGAGGGATGTCCTGCCGGTCTGTTATGTATGTACTTGTATTTGTGTGGATCTATGTGTTTATTTGTATTTGTGTGTGCATATGTGTCTGTGTATTTATTAGTATTTATGTATGTATATTTATATATATATAAATATAAAATATATATATATATATGTATGTGTCTGCTCACATACGTGCCTAGCTGTATGTGTCTGCTGTATCTAATTGTATTGTCAGTTTGTGGTTCTATCTGTATATATACAATACCTCTATGTGTGTGTGTGTGTGTGTGTCCATGTGCGTGGTTGTATTGTGTGTCTATTTGTATTTGCTTGTGTGTCTGTGTATACGTGTGTCTCTGTTTGTGTGCGTGTGTCTGTGTGGACCTGTGGTCTGAGAATGCCGCCTGTGGGTGGAATCTGGCCCAGAGACGTGTTTGGTTTGGCCCCCACAGTATTTTCAACGTCTTGAGCCAACATTTAAAAATTAGGATATTTCACATAAAAATTCAGCTTTCCAGTTTCTCTTAAAAATTCAGAAGCCTTGGCAGCCTTGGGCCTGCGCTCCCATGAGGCTGCTCTCCTCCAGCGCCGCACAGGGGCGCCTGTCCTCCCGCCCTCCGCACCCTCCCGATGCTTACCTGCCTCCCGGCACCTTAAGGATGACTGAGTTTGTGACCCCGAAGTGTGTGATCATAACTGAGTGCAAGCCCAGCTGTCAGGGGGCGTGTACCCAGACTGAGTCTGCAACGTAGGGGTGTACATGTGAATGCATATGTGCGTGTGAGGCCTGTCTGTGTGAGTAGTGTGCAAGTGTGAAGGCATGAGTGTGTGCATCAGGCCAGGCTGAGTGTGTGGGGGACATGCGGGTGCCTACATGTGCGTGTGGGGGTATATGTGTGTGAATGAATGCATGTGCACGTGTGTGTATTCGTGGCCGTATTCGTGGCCATGTGGAGTGTGTGGGCCACTGTGGTCTGGCATGCTCTGCATAGGGGCCTCTTCCGGCCTTTGATGGGGAATTGGATTCCCGGCTTCTGGCTGGGCTGCCTTGTGGGATTTATTTCTGTCTCAGTGCCGACCAGAGGCCTGAGTAATGGGAACATTTAAAGAAAACCAGTAAATACATAGAGAAGGGGCAGGCTGGCCGGGAAACTCTGCCTGGACACTCCTGCCCAGCCCACAGCTGCCGGAGGC